CCAGAAACAGTTGAATAGGTGCTAAAACATTTGGGCATGTGACATGTACTCCACAGAGGTTATTAGGGAGGTGGGAGGATATTAGGTGTGGAAGTAGCATCAGAGAGCAAAGCAAGACCTAGCTCTCCTTCAGGTTGATGACATGCAGGTTGTGGAAAGGGAAAACAGCCATCCTTGGGAGGGTTGCAAGAAGTGGTGTCTTCAGGAGGTAACCATGTTTCAGATAAGGAGATTTAGGGGAGGATGTTGGCAGTTTTAAGATTCTAGAATGTATAATGGAAAAGTTTGAGGAGTAGGGAAGGAATCAGAGTTTGAAGCAAATGAGGGGATATACTGAACAATATGAGGCTAAGCATGATATCGAAGGCAAATGACATGGGGTTTGGGCAATTTCGGCAATAGGTGGTCAAGGATGAGAGCAACTTGGCACAACACTAGGGCTTGCTTCAGTGTGGCAGTAATCGCTTCCAATGAATCCCAAGGAGGCAGGGAATGGGTGTGTGGGGAGGAGAGGGATGGGATGGGCAAGGTGCTTTTACAAAAACTGGTAGTATGCTGGGGGCCAATTTAACTCCTTATTCGAACAAATCCGTACTTTCCACTTAAGAAAGGTAACTCTCCCAATATGGGCTGATCTTACCTGGGCTTAGCCCTACAGGGGCCAGAAAAGTAGCAGCTACACATAGTCCATAAATAGAGTGTCATTCAGGCCAGGACCTGAGCCACAAATGGCTCATTAAAAAACACTTTTCTCCTGCTAAACTTTCTACTCAAAGATCTACAGTAGGTTCTGTAGATTTCAGCTGCTTGGGGAGCTGTTAGTTTTTCATGTCACTTTGCAGCAAGGAGCCCTCAAGCCGGGCAGTCAACTCATTACCCACTTGTGCAATTAAGAAGACCATAAAGAGAATAACGAAACAGGCCATTGGGAGCCACAATTCCAGCACTCTTTCGGTGGTTTGTGAGTTCAAACAAGGCAAAATGTGTCCAGGTCTGGCCGTTTCAGTTGAATAAAAGAGTGGAAGCCACATGGGTCCTAAGCGTTTTCAGATCTCCTGGCGGTGTGTGGGTGAATTGTTATGCACAATGCCACTCTGATGGGGAACACTTGGTAGGTCATTTTAAATCACTGGAAAGGCTCCCTAAGGTCTTCACTGAAGGCACTTCTGCACATATTTTTCTGTGGACTGGGGAAGCCCCTGGCCAAACTGCTATCCTGTCTGATAACTTCCTACTTACCCTTTAAGAATTACATCATAGTCATGGCTCTACAGCACCTTTCCCAGCCTCATTTTATGACCTGATGTACATAAGTACATCACCTTCTGTGGTAATTATTTATAAATAGGTGTCCCAGGCACCTAGTCTAATGCTGGTGTAGCATGTAGACACGTTCAATAAATATTCACTAATAGTGCTGCTGATGTGAGTCTAGACACGTTTACTGGTCATATTCCTATATTTCCATTATATTTTGCCCAGTACTTTTGATACTGAAGTTTTCTTCAGCGTCCACACAGAGTTGATGCAGGACAGTTACAGGTAGTTCTTTAGACAGTATTCTCAGATCATGGATGTAATTGTACTATCTCAAGTAGAAAGGATGACTTGGCTTGCCTCTTCCTTGCCATCAAATCTCTGGCAGTTTATCTGGGCAAATGTAGAATTAGGGTCCGTGGGACAAGGACATCATTATACCCTCTGCTGGCGAGCATGCTGGCCATATTCTTGAGTCCAGAACTCTATATTCTAGAAGTTGGAACACCCTTTCAATGAAGTAATCTGAGGGCTGACAGCTGCCATTTGTTGAGCATTTACAACATATACTGTGCGAGTCACTTCATTTTTCATTTCTCAAAAAAACAAACAAAAAAATGAGGAAGAGGCACTGGTATTATCCTACTTTACAGAAAAACAAATCGAGGCTAGTGAACATCGTGTAACTTTTCTTAAATTCTGATAGCTATGAAGTGGCAGAACTGAGATTTGAATCCAGGTCTCTGATTCCAAAAGCTCATAGGTATCATTTTCTGTGATGCGACTCCAAGCAGGATGCAGCTCTCCAATGTGAGAAACACCGAGGTCTGTGGCCAGCAGCACCATCTTTAAATTATCCTCAGTTTCCAAGTTGAGATAATTATATCAAAGATTTAAAGTATCTTACCTGGAAATGACCTCATTTTTTAAAGGAAGGCACAGCTTTTTAAGAAACAAAATAAATAGGAGTGACCTTATTAAGTTTCCCTTGAAGTTTTTAGTCATTTCATCGTAAAATTACACATAGAAGCTACATAAAAAAGTATAGACTTCACTTGGCCTACTATCACACCCAATTCTATTTTAAATGTTCTCTGAAGGACACCCAGCCATATGGTTTGGCTAGTGAAGCCAACATTGTAGACTCAACACTTGGAAGCAAATCCTTTCTCCTGAGCTCATAATTGAAGAATCATTATAGTTACCTAAACAGTTTTAAAGAAGTCTATACAGGATGTAGCAAATGAACTCTTTATACTACCTACTTATTTCCAATTCATTTTTATGTGAATTTGCATTTAATACTTTCTAGGCATTTAGCCGAATAGAAGAGCTAATGGAAACTCAGATGGACAAGCTACTCATAGTATCCATTGATTGAAGGTCATCATCACTGAGATCAATAATTAAAATTAATAACAGCACCCTCATAGGCCAAAGGCCAGAAAATTCTCTATGCTGGTACTCTATGGCATAAAGGGTAGAGACAGAGGGATTTAAGAACAATAAGATAAAATTCTACTCTCTTAGGTTCGGAGGCTCCATTTATTAATAGAGCTATTAATAGAACTAAGTGGCAGGCACTCGGACAGTCACATTACATATCACTTTTAAGTACTACAACATCCCTACTTTGTAGAAGTTATCTCCACTTTACAGATGAAAACACTGAGGCTCAGAAAGGCTCAGTAATTTGTCATTGCTGTGCGTCTTGCCTAAGGAATGTTGAGATGCATATCTAGGTCTGTTTGGCTCTCCATTTCCTGCTATTTCCATCCAGCATGCTGCTTCCTAAAACGTTTCTTATTTGGTGAAGATAATAATCAGACATGGACAATACTGAAAGAGATATACACAAAGTGGGAGTGTCAGATAATTTGGCGTTGAGATCCTAGAAGGGGATCTGACATTTGATTTGGCTCTCTCTAAAAAAAGAAAAAAAAAGAAAAAAGATTGTGCCAGGTAGAAGGAAGGTAGTCCAGATGGATGTGGTAAAAGATGGTAGAAAGTTCCAGAGGCATGAAATGGCATGGCAGGGGTTGGGGATGTGGGAGGAAAGGAAAATAAAACTGCAGGTCACAACTTTACGCACCATGTGAAGGGCGTATCCTGTGGGCAAGTGAGAGTCTTTACATGATAGTAGCAAAGCTATGACAGAGTCAGATGGGTGGCCTAGAGGGGACAGCCTGCAAAAGGGGAGATGCTTTCACCAGAGATGAGGAGGAACTGGTCAAAGAGAGTAGATTTAAAAGGTAAGGATGAGTGGAATAGATAGTACTTGGTGAGTGAATTTAAGGGTGAAGAAGAGGAGAGAGAACAGTAAGAATTAACATTCATGGCATCCTTTCTGTCCACGAGGTGCTGTGCTTAGCTTTAACAATCTACATATTTGAAACTACATAATAAGTCCATGAGAGGAGTATCTTTATTATTCCCAGTCTATATGGAAAAAAGTAACACCTAGAAGTCTCAGTATCAGCTAGCAAATTATAGAAAACTTGAATGCAGGCGATTTGACTACATGATCTTTTGATTTTTACTATTGCATCTTTTGACTCACTGGATGAGTCCAAGGTTTTCATTCACTAGGACAGGGACCGGGAAGAGATGAAATGTGTATAGAGAGACTGATTGAGATCAACATTGTACATTGCGAATTTGACTTTCTTACAGAACGTACAGGTGGAAATATCTGGTTAAATAAAGAATTGGAAGGAGAACAGGAAACTAAAGGTAAAGAAGGTATGATTATACAGAGAGAGGTTAAAACCGAGGGCCCACATAAGTGTGTTGGTGGAAGGTGGATGGTGACAAGGATAGACGGTGTAAAGACTACTCCCCATTTGAAAATAAGTTACATACAGACATAGAACCTTCTAACAACTCAATCCTATAAACTCAAGCAGTCTTTATTTGCAATGATGCCTTTTGTGACTTTTTGTTCTAGTGTGAGAGATATTTATTTGCCTGACTTCTCAAAATCATTGCCTTATTGGAATGTGAAGAGTTGTTCTCCCCAAACTCTAGGTCCAGAGAGCGCTGGGCTTCTCTAGAAGGTCACCATTACTGATGTTCATAAATTTGTCTGAACTGGACCTTTAAGCATCCACGTCTTAAGATTCCTGTGAACAAATATGTTTTCAAGAGGGAAGAACAATATTGTAAAAATTAGAAACAAAATAGTTTGCTTCTTCCAAATGTGTCTCTTTCTCCTTCGGGTCTATCCACTCCATACCCTGCTCTTGTGGCACTGCCTCTGCCAGCAGTCCTGTGGACAGAATCCCAGGTGACAACAGAACAGTGGCCTGAGCTAGAGAGAAGTGTCACTATACGGCACATACTCTTAACTGAGGGGTCACGGTCACACCATCACACTGCCTGCATTGCAAAGTGCTTTCTGGAGGATGAAGGAAAAGTCTGAGTGGACAAGAAGTGTTCCTGTGGCACAGTGCAGCAAGCATTGTTTCCCAATCTCCAAAGAGTGGGAAGAGCTTTTTTTGGAAACCATCTAGCAGTTACAGAGACTCAGTCCAGAAAGTCAGAGTAATTCATGACATGACTCAAGTGCTTGTACCATTCCCCCACTAAAAATGCAGTCTGCACAGGAGACGTGCATCTGTGGAATTGGCCAGGTAGACAATAGGCCTTGAGAAGGGGACTATTTTACAAAATCCACAATCTTCTGTGTCAGGATACCTCGAAAGAAAACTGAGCAGTGTCGAGGGAAGAATTTCAAGAGCAAATCAAAGGTTTCTGGTGATTCTATTGTATTTTATAAAACCATTACATTTCTCTTTTTGGTCATGGCGAGGTCTATTGGCACAAACAGCACAGCCACAAAGTATTCTTTTGATTTTAATAACTCATCTGATATATATTTATATATATTTATATATCTGCTCATCTTCATTTCCTCAGCAAGAGGGGAAATAAAAATATTGATCTATAAAATAAGCTGATGAGAACACAATGCCAAAAATAGCTTATGTTAAGTGCAAGGGGTGAAGCTTGAAAGCAAGCTAAATTGCAACGACATATTGATTTAACATTTTAAATACAAGACTTGCAATAAAATAATTCTTGAGATATGCTTCTCATTTTTAGTTTACTTTTTAAAAACTACTCTCTATACACAAATCCAGTTGTAACACTTGACAGTAGCATTATGGGGCATGATAGAACTTTGGTACACATTGCAGATATGGATGGGTAATGTCTGTAAATGATATTCCTTCACCAGTTAGAGCACTGTACAGCAAGGAACCAGCCACCTGATCCCGTAGAATGTTCCCACCAGAACCACGGAGCCCTTCCCAGATCCATTGGAGACAGCGGGAAAAAGTGGGCTCACTGGATCCATATCGTGTTTCCTCTCTCGGTTCTCCTGGGTTCCACTGTCAGCTCCCCAAAAGTGGAAAAAAACTGCTCCATTTCTTTCTGAAGCATGTCGTTTCTTTTCTCTGCATCTTCTTTTGCTCGCTCTGCATTTCGCATTTTGATTTCTATCATTGTGAACTTTTTCCTTTCTTGATCCAGTTCATCATGGAGGCTCATCATTTCTGTTTCCAAAGTCAAGTTTCGCTGTTCTAAGCTAGATAGGATGGGGGGGGGGGGGGCGGAATACAAGATAAAGCAATTTTATTCACTTGAAATGTGACAGGGATACAAATATTATCTGAACTCTGTCTCTGCTATGCTTAGGAAATTGTAATGGGCCCTTTCAAATCAGTGAGGCTAGGTCCAATGATTTAAAAGGTGTTAGTTTCATTCATTCATTCATTCATTCATTCATTCTGCTAGGATGATTTACTATCATTTAAAAAAAGTTTAAATTTTTTTTTTTTGAGAAAGAGAAGTGTTGGGGGGAGGGGCAGAGAGAGAGGGAGACACAGAATCCAAAGCAGGCTCCAGGCTCCAGCTGTCAGCACAGAGCCTGCCTGATGTGGAGCTTGAATTCATGAGTCGTGAGATCATAACTTGAGCCTAAGTCAGACTCAACCAACTGAGCCACCCAGGTGCCCCAATTTACTATCATTTTAGCAAGAAGCCCCCAAGACCTCTTTTGGAAGCACTTAGTCGTCATTTGATTGTGAATGAATGAATGTCAGCACAGAGAAGCCAGAGACTGATATCTGCACAGAATGGCAGATGCAGAAGGCAGCCTGAACCACAAGGCTTTCTGGAGTCATTTCATGTAATGTTGGCTTTACTAGAAGAAAGGGGGGAAGTGATAAAGCTGGGGGAAAAAGGACATCATATTTGCTTTCTATCAAAGGAAAAATAATGATAGTGAAAATATCATCAAGAGATAGCTTAAGTCTCTTATGTCAGGAAGTAACTAATCAAAATAAAAGTGGCATAACAATATGAATACCAGAAAAAATTGATTTTTAGCAAAATCATTATTATAATTGAAGATGACTATTAATGATAAAAAGACTGATTCATCAGGGAGATATAAAAAATTCTGAACTTTATTCACCTATATTCACCTAGTAGTCTAGCCTCAAATTATTCCATATAAAATATAACAAATTTATAAGGAGAAATTGATAAGTCTACAATAACATTAGGAGATTTTTTTCTCAGAAATTATAGATCTGTCTGATAGAAATTAGAAGAAATGTAAAAGATTTGAACAACTTGATTAACACACTTGATCTATTAGGCATGGGTAGAATCCCAAACCAATAATGAAAGAATAGTTTTTTTTTTTTATTTTTTAATGTTTTATTTTTGAGAAAGAGAGAGAGAGAGAGAGAGCATGCAAGCAGGGGAGGGGCAGAGAGAGGGAGACACAGAATCTGAAGCAGGCTCTGAGCTGTCAGTGCAGAGTCCAACATGGGGCTCGAACCCACAAACTGTGAGATCATGACCTGAGCCGAAGTTGAATGCCCAACTGACTGAGCCACCAGGCACCCCAAGAATAGTTTTTACCAGGCCAAATAATTGATATCATACAAATGAGTTTCTCCGACCACAATACAACAAAGTGAGAAACTAATGTGGGGGGAAAGAACATCAAAGTCATGTGTTTAAAAGCTAAAGAGCATGTATCAGTGATTGATAACTAAACAAAGTTAAATAGTATCCATCTATCTATCATCTATCTATGAATTCTATTTCACTTCAATATTGGTGGGGTGTAGTTTAAAAGAAATTGAAAGAGACAAATATGACTCTGAACAGGAATGATCAGAAATTAAATAGAATAGTTAACCTCTTTTATTCTCAATGTTTACTTATTTATTTTTGAGACACACACACAGAGAGAGAGAGAGAGAGAGAGAGAGAGAGAGAGAGAGAGAGCAAGCAAGGGGCAGAGGGACAAAATCTCAAGCAGGCTCTGCATTGTCAGTGCAAAACCCAACGTGGGGCTCCAACTCACTGTGAGATCATGATCTGAGCCAAAATCAAGAGTCAGATGCTTAACCAACTGAGCCACCCAGGTGCCCCTAGAACAGTTAACCTCTTCTATTTCTGTGGCTTGGGTATGGGGCAGCTCCTCGGCCCCATTTTTGTGTGGCCCTCTCCCTCTGGCTGTCAGACAGGTAGGAATGCTATAGTGAAATTGAGATGGCATTCTATGGGAAAGTTTTATCATTTTATCAAAGTCTCTGAAATGCACTATACATCACAGAACATAAATACGTCACCAATGTTCTCCTAAATGAATGTGTACATCGGCAGCCATTCAGAATGATTTTTTTTCCTCTGCTAATACAAGTTTGAAGTGATATCTCTTGCTTCCCAGTGCTAAGTGCTACTGGTTGCCAGTGGTTCCAAAAACTACATTCACAAATGAGAGTCTTTCTTCTTATGTAAACCTCCTGCCACTTGGCATTATAAAGAAAAATTCAAACCAAGTTTCTGCTCACCAAGGTTTACAAAAACTACTTTCTAAGAAAGTAATTTTTCAACTTCATGGATAAGTAGTGCTTTAGTTTATATTTACTTTACCAAAGCTCTTGAAAATATATTTCTTTTGGCCTGAAAATTGAACAAATGGATTCAACAAATATTAAAATACATTAAAGTTGACTTTCTGTGTAATGAAGAAGCCATGTGGGGTTTGGAGGCATAGCAGTAATTGAAGCCGGACAAAGAATGGTGTTCACTGCCATGAGGACCCTAGGACACCCACACAGGAGGAGGGCCACCAAGTCACACAGCCTGAATCTGGGGTGGAGACCACAGATGGGCAACTGCATGCTGAACTGAGCCTTGGGTCTTCTCCTACTTGAGAATTAAATATCCTACATTATGCTGAAAGGAGAACATAAAAACCATCAAGTTTGTAATGTCTGTAACCCTAGTAAAAACACGGGGTGGTGACATTCTGGTTTCTGGCACAGGGTTCTGTTTGTGAGCCCTGGGCTCCCTTGTCTGTATTCCCGCCTTTGAAGTCCACGGAAACATCTGACAAACACCCCTGATCCTGCCTAGATTGCTTCTCTAGAGAAGATGCTAGGTAAACGTCTACCTTGATCATCTTATTAATAGATGTAAACTGATATAAATTAGGTTTTACCGTAAGTGCTTCCTTATAAATCGTAGTTTTTGCTCCTTGTTTCAGGCCATAATTTCCCTTGTCCATATGAATGCACATCATGTCATTGTTTTTCTCAAAAATCTCCATGGATTCTAATCTCAGAATAAAAGCCAGACTTAAGGGGCACCTGGGTGGCTCAGTTAGTTAAGCGTCTGACTTCGGCTCGGGTCATGATCTCAGGGTTTGGGAGTTTGAGCCCTGGGTTGGGCTCTGGGCTGACAGTGCAGAGTCTGCTTGGGATTCTCTCTCTGTGTCTGCCTCTCCCTTGCTCTCTGTGTCTCTCAGAAATAAACTTAAAAAAAAAAAAGCCAGACTTAAAATGATCTCCAAGGCCCTCTCTGAGTCCCTGCCCATCCCGTCTCATGGCATTTCCACTTGCTCTTCTCCCAAATGTCTGCACAGTGTCCTCTTTGACTTCCTGTAAGGCCCTGCACATGACCTTGCACCTCACGAATGCTTCTTACCCTCTACCCTGCATTAGTCTTCTCCTTAGCATCTGATCTATTCTACTACTTGATCTGTCTCTGTAGTAGAATGGAAGCAGGTTCCACGAGGGCTGAGTTTTTGCCTATTTTATTCACTGCTGAATCTTCAGGGCCTAGAGTGGAGCCGGGAAGAGTGCAGACACTCTCTCAGCATTCAACTATGAAAAGAATGAAAAAGAAAGGTCTGTTTATTTTGATACTTTTTCTTCACCCTCATTTCATCCTCTTTCCATCAGTGAAAATAGGCTCCTTACTTTCCATTTATCCTCGCCCCTCTCTTTCCAGCCCTTAACACAAACCCACACATTTACTAGCAGAAGATAGCACCATCGAGCACCTATTCTGTGCCAGGGACAAGGCTCAATGATTTCTTACATGCTTTTGAGGTAAAACCTACTCATATTTACGTTTTTCACAGTACGAACCTAAAGCACAAAGAAATGAAGCAAACTGTCCCCAAATCCCACAGCTGACAAATGGTGAAGCCTGGACTTGAGCCTGTGTGAACCTGTCCTGCAGTAGGGGGCTGTCGGGCCCTCTCTGGCAGTTAGAAGCTCCAGATTTTCCTCACCTCTTTATCCTGGACTCATACTCTATCTTCTGTTTGGTCATCTCCTGTTTCAGGCTGGACACTAAACTGTGCAGGGCACTGTGGTTGCTGGTGTTGTTGCCCACAAATGTCTCACTGTTGTCGCTGCTGCTGGTGGCACGACTGCTTCGACCTCCCACACTCCTCCGGTCACTTTTGTTTTCATAGTCGCCAGGGTGGGAGAGGTCATCCTGTGGGGGCCCATCCAAAACAGGGTCCTCAAAATTACTCCCGTAAAAGTCTTGCTCTGGGCAGGTGGTGGTGGAAGAGCGACAGGAGTTGGAATTCTCCGGGAGGGAGATTTCACAGGAGGAAGTGGACCAGGTGGCGCTGTCGACACTCTGCTTGTCATCAAGGTTCATCATGGAGAACTGCTGATGGACGTTATCATAGGTGGAGAGTCTGTTGTGCTGGCCTGACTCCCCTGCTTGTTCTTTCTGCTTGTTATCCCTCAGGGTCACGTAGCCATTGGGCAGCCAGCTCATGCTGCGACCGTTCACGGGGTTCCCAAGCATGTCGGGGTTCAAAATGCCCATTCTCACTGTTCCATTCTGTACACTGTGGGTGCCCATTTTGGTACCAGACCCCTTCAGTGAAGAGGTCCTTCTGGCCTGTAAGCTCCCATTGGGAGTGGTTTGGGTTTTCTCCAGACCTTCGGCATTACTGCTGCTGAAGGACCCATTGGTGACTATCCCACTGCCCTTATTGAAAGCAGGATTCTTTTTGACCATAAGAGGGGGGCTTCTAGAGACGTCCAGCTTGTGAACACTGTTCCTTGGGCTGTTGGTTTTACTACCTGGTAGAGCTGTGGGGGATCCATTATCCACACCACTTCTCTGGGGAGACTCGGACTTGTCCCAAGAGCACCGCCTACCAGGACTGTCCTTGGTATTATTGTTCTCCTTATTCTGTAGCTGGCCCATGGTGGCTTTCTTCTGAATTTCATTGTTGTTATTGCTCGTGCCATCTTGGGGTTTGCTTTGCAGTTCTGCATCTTTGGGGAAGAGGCGATCATGTTTGCTAATCATCATTGACATCAACTGCTGGACCACCACCGTGCCTGGAATTGCATAGAAAACACAGCAGTTTATTTTCTAATTTGAAAGTGACTCTTAAAGAACCACATTCAGATGAACATTCAACATTTTTAGTAGTAGTGCTGAACATTCAACATTTTTAGTAGTAGTATATGCAATGAACTGTACCTAGCACTTTACTTTCATTAGTTTAGTCAGATTTTAAAACAAATCAATGAATAGGTAGTTATTATCACTGTATTGTAAATGTTAAGTAACTTGACCAAGGTCACAAAGCTACTAAGGAGCAGATTCAGGGATTGAAACCAGAGTTAGCTGGTACCAAAGAACAGGCTTTTAATCATTATGCACAATTTCTTGCAAGTTTGAGATTTAATTATGAGAAATCTTCCTTAGGAGGAGGTCAGTGTGATGTCTCATCTGACAACTGCCTGAAACCATCAAGACATTTTAGTAGCATTTCTAAGTGGGACCCTATATGATCTCTGGTGGATACATGGTCTGTCTTTCTCATGTAGCAAGATACTGAAGTTCTTTTTTTTTTTCTTTTCAAATTTTTATTTAAATTCTATTAAGTTCACATGCTATATGCAATATTGGTTTCAGGAGCAGAATTCAATGATTCATCACTTACATGCAACATCCAGTGCTCAACATAACAAGTGCCTTCTTAATACCTATGCATCTAGCCCATCTCCTACCCACCTCCTTCCATCAACCCTCAATTTGTTCTCTATCTTTAAGAGTTTCTTATGCTTTGTTTCTCTCTCTCTCTTTTTTCTCCCCCCCCAAGTTCATCTGTTTTGTTTCTTAAATTTTATGTGTAAGTGAAATCATGTTATTTGTCTTTCTCTGACTGACTTATTTTGCTTAGCATAATACAGTCTAGCTTCATCCACATAATTGCAAATGGCAAAATTTCATTCTTATTGATGGCCAACTATTATTCCATTATATATGTGCGTGTATTATTGTATCCTTTAGGTAAATACCTAATAGTGCAATTGCTGGATGGTACGGTAGTTCTACTTTTAGCGTCTTGAGGAACCTCCATACTGTTCTCCAGAGTGACTGCATCAGTTTGCATTCCTTCACAGTGTAAGAGGGTTCCCCTTTCTCCACATCCTCGCCAATACCTGTTTTTTCTTGTGCTATTAATTTTAGCCATTTTGACAGATGTGAGGTGGTATCTCATTGTGGTTTTGATTTGTATTTCCCTAATGAGGAGTGGTGTTGAGCATCTTTTCAAATCAGCCATCTGGATGTCTTCTTTGGAAAAGTGTTCTCTATCTTTAGGAATTTCTTAAATGGACTTCTTAGATGGATTATTTGTTTTTTGGGTGTTTAATCTGATAAATTCTGTTTTTTTTTAACTTTGTAATAAGTTTTTTTTAATTTTATTTTTTATTTTAAAAAATTTACATCCAAATTAGTTAGCATATAGTGCAACAATGATTTCAGGAGTAGACTTCTTAGTGCCCCTTACCCATTTAGCACATCCCACCTCCCACAACCCCTCCAGTAACCCTCAGTTTGTTGAGTCTCTTCTGTTTTGTCCCCCTCCCTGTTTTTATATTATTTTTGTTTCCCTTCCCTTATGTTCATCTGTTTTTTTCTCTTAAAATGAATGAATGAAGTCATGATTTTTGTCTTTCTCTGACCGACTAATTTCGTTTAGCATAATGCCCTCCAGTTCCATCCACGTAGTTGCAAATGGCAAGATTTCATTCTTTTTGATTGCTGAGTAATACTCCATTGTATGTGTATACACACACACACACACACACACACACACACACGCATATACCACATTTTCTTTATTCATTCATCCATCGATGGACATTTGGGCTCTTCCATACTTCGGCTATTGTTGATAGTGCTGCTATAAACATGGGGGTGCATGTGTCCCTTCAAAACAGCACACCTGTATCCCTTGGATAAGTGCCTAGTAGTGCAATTGCTGGGTGGTAGGGTAGTTCTATTTTTAGTTTTTTGAGGAACCTCCATACTGCTTTCCTGAGTGGCTGCACCAGCTTGCATTCCCAAAGATACTGAAGTTCTATACGACTTTTGTCACTATTCAAAAGCTTTAAGGCATTTTAAGTGACATCAGCCAGAATGGTAAAATGAAGATCTCCAAAAATCCTCGTCTCCATAAAAGCAGCTGACACATGTGTTATGAATCAACATTTTCAGGAATCTGTAAATTAAAGACTTGGTGTAGTCTGGAGAGTGTTTATTCAAGAAAACTAGTTGACTCTCAGTAAGAACAGCAACCTCTGTGGTGTTTTACCTTTCTTCCCATCCTTTTCTCCCTAGATTTGCAACAGCCTTGAAAACTAATAGCCTAAAATCACAGTGAGAACCAGCAGCTTGGTAGACCCTGCCATGAGCAGAACAGGGTTGGATTTCCAAAGCTCCATTACCAGATATTGTCATTGTTTGACATACTTGGTGGTTCCCTTGAAGACCCCACTCACAATGCACATCTTTGTTTGATCTGACTAGTAATTTGACCAGTATGAAGAGCATTCTTCTCAAGAGCATTTGTCAAAAATAACAAGGCACTTTTGTTTAATAATATCATGGCTGCCCAAAGCAGTGGATAAGAGTTGGGACAGACAGTAGGCTGTCTTAAAAAGACACAAAGCTTAAAAGGAAAATCTGAGGAATGAGATTTCCACAGGAGGTAAAGCTTGGATCTATTCCTGGGAATCTGGAAGACTACATGAATGTTTAAGGTTATGTGTATGTCTACAGCTATGTGCATGTTCACACAGAAATTAGGAGTCCCTAGTCTCTCACCTCTGGCTTATCTTGAGGATCTGCATGAGGAGAAACTGAAGGCTCCTGCAGAGTTGTAAACTACCTGGCTGAATGTTGAAGGTTTGCCCCAACATGCATACAGAGCCTTTTGGTAAAAGATGGGAAACTTATTGGCCTATGAAATTTAAGGAAATCTTTGCCAATAATTAGTTGACAACTAAGCAAACCAAGCAGAGACTTCAGTGGCCACAAATAGCAAAGAATATAGACTTTATAGAATTAGTCCAGAAAAAGCACTAAACAAACAACAACAAACCCTAGGAGGGGGAGAATCTGATATCCAATGTTCTCATTATTATATTATTAAAAATGTTCAGTTTTTGGGGTGTCTAGGTGGCTCAATAGGTTAAGCATCCGATTTCAGCTCAGGTCATGATCTCACAGTTCATGAGTTCGAGCTCCACATTGGGCTCTGCGCTGACAGCTCAGAGCCTGGAGCCTGCTTTGGATTCTGTCTCCCTCTCTCTCTGCCCCTCCCCTGATCACGCTCTGTTTCAAAAATAAATAAACATTAAAAAATTTCTTTTAAAAATGTTCAGTTTTCAATAAAAATTATGAGACATGCAAAGAATAAAGACATTATGGCCCATATACAGGAAAAAACAAACTCTGAGGAAGCCTAGACATGGCACTCACTAGACAAAGACTTTAATTCAGCTATTTTAAATGTATTTTATTTTATTTTATTTTATTTTATTTTATTTATTTTTTTAAATGCATTTTAAAAATTAAAGGAAACCATACCTAAAGAAACCAGATGAAAGTGAAAATAATGTCTCACCAAATAGAGTGTATCAATAAAGAGAAACTACAAAAATGAACAAAATAGATATTCTGGAGTTGGAATTTATAATAAGTGAAATGAAAAAAAATCAGTAGAGGGAATTAACAGCAGATTTGAGCAGGCAGAAGAAAGAATTGGTACACCTGCTAACAAATCAGTAGAGGTTACCCAATCTGAGGAGCATAAAAGAAAAAGAATGAAGAAAAATAGACAGAGCCTCAGAGACCTGTGGGACACCATAACGTATACCATCATATGCCCGATGGTAGTACCGGAAGGACAGTCCCAGAGAAGAAAGAATATTTAAAGAAAGAGGTGCTGAAAATGTCCCATTTTGATGCAAACCATGATGTGTATATCCAAAAACTCAGCAAATTCCAAGCTAGGTAAATGCAAAAGGATCCAAACCTAGACTCATCATAGTCAAGCTGTCTTAAACCCAAAACAAAGAAAGAATCCTGAAAGTAGCAACAGAGAAGCAACTCATGCACAAGGGACCCTTAATAAGATGAACAGCTGATTTCTCATCATTTCTCATTGTCAGAAGGAAATGGGATAAAATATTCAAAATGTTGAAATAAAGACTGTCAGGTGAGAATTCTATATTCAACAAACCTATGTCTCAAAACGGAGGAGAAATAAAGACATTTCTAGATAAACAAAAACTGAGAGAATCTGTTACTACCAAACCTTGTTCAAGAAGAAATAACAAAGTTCAGGGCATTTTAACTTTTTTTTTTTTTTTTTTGGGGGGGGGGGAGGGAGAGAGCAAGCATGGGAGGGTCAGAGAGAGAATCCCAAGCAGGCTCTGCACTGTCAGTGCAGAGACCTAATTGGGCTCAAACTCACAAACTGTGAGATCATGACCTGAGCTGAAAGCAAGAGCTGGACACTTAACCGACTAAGCTACCCAGGGGCCCAGAGTCAGGACATTTTAGATGATTAAAAGACCTTTGAGAAAGAAAATAATTCTCTTACACATATTAAAATACTATGATTTCCATTTGATTCTCATATTTTCACTATGCACTGTAAAGTATGAATTAGAAATGAATAACAGGTTTCAGACAGAAAAATAGACACTAAAGGACAAAAATGTTGACTGATTATTAAAATTTTTTTTAACATTTATTATTTTTAGAGAGAGAGAGAGAGTGAGAGAAAGACAGAGAGACGGAGTGCAAACGGGGGAGGGGCAGAGAGAGAGGGAGACACAGAATCCGAAGGAGGCTTCAGGCTCTGAGCTGTCAGCACAGAGCCCAACACAGAGCTCAAACTCATGGACCCAGAGATCATGACCTGAGCTGAAGTTGGACGCTTACCCAACTGAGCCACCCAGGTGCCCCAAAGTTGGTCTATTATTAAAAGCAGCAATTTATTAAAAAATCAGTGGATTTTTATGGTTTTATGGCATATTATCTGAAATCTCAAAATGTATTTTCACATATTCCTCACTGACTTACAAGCTGAGCTCCCCATCCCTTACAACTGGCTGACACCATTAAACAGGCTTCTCAACTAGTTTCCTAACTCGGAGCCCCTTCTCCCTCAATAATATAAGACTTATTAAGTATTAACTTATTCATATGCCCACAATAGAGTGGTAATAGGTTAATGTAAACCTCAATCATCTTTGCCTTAGCTTGAACTATACTAATTTGATGTGTTAATTGGGGTTTATATGATGTTGGTAAAAGCTCCTGGGAATAGTCTCTGAGAAATAAACATAGCAAAACAACTAAAATGTAAATGTAGTTTCTACATAAATGTAAATGTAGTTTACATTATGTTAGTTAATGTAGTAAATGTAGTTAGTAAATGTAGTTTCTAGATAAAATACCTAAATTGAGATTTGGTAAGGAAAATGATGACAAGAGCTTTTGACGATGCAGATTTCTGCCGAAACAGCTACTAATTGTGTAGCTGTCAGAGAGTAGAGGCCTGATATGGAGTGAGGCCACTCTTCAGCTTAAAGCAACGTCTCAGCAAAATTTGACTCTGTATAATTCAAAATCATGTTCTGAATATGAAAAAATGTGTTAAATCCATCTGTATCCTGCACACTTTTGTGATCATCCAAAACTTAACGATATATTTAGATCAAGAATCTTCAATGTGCCAGGTCTGATGCTGGGCCAGTGTTGCTCAAACATTAATGTTCACTAAAATTTCCTGGAGATTCTGTTCAAATGTAGGCATTAAGTGGGCCATAAAATTTTACATTTCTAACCAGCTCCCAGATGACACCAGTAATGACAGAATAATATAACTGACATCACCTGGAAGCTCCAAAACTGCAGATCTGAATAGAACCTACATGTTAACAATATCCCCAGGTGATTCCTATGTCTGTTAGAGTTTGAGAAACACTGTGTTTGGTGGAGATATTTCACTTATATCTCTTAAGTTTCTCAAAAGGCTATGAGATAGGACTTAAAATTTTTCAAATGAGGTTCAAATTGAGGTTCTGAGAGGTTAAGCTGTTTGTTCAAGGCCACATAGATGATAAATGACCAAGGTTACCAGTTTTATACTTCAACTTTTTACTCCAAAGCATGCACTCATCCTATTATGTTTCAGCTGTTGGAATTTAAACTGTTGTAGTATCAAGTAAACTTGGGGTTGTTCTAAATAAGAAACCAAATAGGGGCACCTGGGTGGCTCAGTTGGTTAAGTGTCTGACTTCAGCTCAGGTCACGATCTCATGGCTCGTGAGTTTGAGCCCTGCATCAGGCTCTGTGCTAACAGTTCAGAGCCTGGAGTCTGCTTCAGATTCTGTGTCTCCCTCTCTCTCTGCCCCTCCCCAACTTTCATCCTGTTTCCGTCTGTCTGTCTCTCTCTCAGAAATCAATAAACATTAAAAAAAAAAAAGAAAGAAACTAAATAAAAGACATCTATTGAATCAGAGTTGTGGAAGAAAAATGACTCAATAAAATTAATGGTATCATAAACCCATCTTTCCTTTTGAAGCAACCTCTGACTTTGTCATCCTAGTTTCAGTGCATATAGGAGTGAATCTGAGGAAAAAATTTTAATCGAGTTAAAATGGCTGTCAACAATGTCGCTATGTACTATGTAAAGACATGTGTACTTAGTCCTATTTTACTATTTGCTCACGTGACAGACACACTTTCAAATATTAGCAGCCTCTATTATATATGACTTTGCCTAGTACTTTGGGAAAATGGAGCTTTTTCCCATCACTGGAATATTAAAATTTGAAGCATTTCTGCTTCTCACTATAGTTATGAACTATGTGGGGCATTTAATTCATCAAAGAGAGATATCCCCAAGGTCTCTGTGATGAGTCTGTGAATAGCCATGCCAAAGTTACCTGCCACAATTATAGAGTGAGTGTCAGGACCCAAGCAATTTAGAAATCTCTTTCTTCTATCTTGGGAGGCTTTGCTTTCATCTAGTCTCAAGAATAATAAATTGCAATAGTTCTTGTAAAGGGACTTTCTTTCAATTTTTATATCTATTTAGGATAGACTAGCTTAGTAATGATGAAGTATGTGTCACTATATACTCTATCTTTTTTCCTTTTATTTCCTCCTGTCATTCTCTTCCTTAGGATGCTAATGAAAAACATGAAGCCCAAATAATGAGGTCAGAGTTGTTACAATCACCAGCCCATTCTGAAGAGTCCAAGCAGATTTGGGGTGTCCCACTGAGCTACATGATCCAGAAATTCCCCCTGGCTCATATATTTTTATAAAGGTTGAATTTAAATACCACATTATAGGTACTTCTTCATGAGAATTGGATAAGAATTCAATTTTCCTTGCAAGGTAACTACGCACATTAAGATAGACTTACATGTACACAGAAATATATGGCAGTGTTCTATGAAAGGTAGTTTCAACTTGTATTTTTTGCAACGAATAATCTTGTATATGTGTAATTTTGTACATGTACAGATATATGATGAATTTTGATAAGTGACAGTTCTGGAAATACCATCTAATCATGAAATAGACAATTCCCTTGTGCTTATTTGTAGCCAATTCCCTATCCACACTTCCCAACCATGACAACCACTGATATGCTTTCTAATTCTATAGTTTTTCTTTTTTTTAGAATTTCATATAAATGCAATTATACCATATGAAGTCTTTTGTGTCTAGGCATTACTCAGTGTAATACTTTTGACATTTATCCATATTATTGCATGCATCAACAGTTCATTCTTTTTATTGCTGGGTAGGATTCCATTTTATGAGTGTACCCAAAATTGTTTATGCACTAATTGATCGACAGTTGGTCTGTTTTCAGATTGGAGCTATTAAATACGAAATAAAGTTGATATGAACATTAAAGTTTTGGTTGAACATGTTTTCTTTCTATGGGGGTAAATATTAGCACACTGCTCTGCTGGGTCTTATAGTTAGTAAATAATTAAGTTTGTAAGAACCCACCTACCTCTTGCAAAATGGCCCAAACATTTTATATTTCTACCAGCCAAACTTAACATTTTCAGTCTTAATTTTATACTTTGTAGAGGATGTGGAATAGTAGTTCATTACAGCTTAAATTTGCATTTCCCTAATGACTAAAAATGCTGAACATCTTTCCATGTGTTATTTGCTATTTCTTTATCTTTGATGAAATGTCTAATTCAGATCTTTCACCCATTTTTTTCATTGGGTTCGTTGTCTTATTATTTCTATGAGTTATTTATATACTTTTAAAACAAATTCTTTAATCAAATATTTGATTCACAATATATCCCCATTCCTGTGACCTGGGTTTTTGTTCTCTTAAGGATATCTTTTTGAAGAGCAAAAGTTTTAATTTTGATAAAGTCCAACTTATCAACTTATTTTTATGGTTAGAGATTTTTATGTCCTAGTAAGTCTTTGACTAACACAAAGTCATAAGGTTTTTTTCTCTTCTGTTTTTCTCTCTAAGTTTTATGCTTTTAGCTCTTACATTTAGGTCTATGAACATTTCAAGTTAATTTCCTGAGTGATGTCAAGTAAGGATAGAGGACTATTTAATGAATATGCAATTTTTCCAGCATCATTTGTTCAAATGACTATTCCTTTCCCACTGAACTAAATTGGCACATATGTCAAAAACAAATGATGATGTGTGTGCATCTATTTCTGGACTCTCTTTTCTATTGATCTCTATGTCTTTCTTTATATTGGTAAGACACTATCTTGATTATTTGTGGTATTATATTGAGTCTTAAATCAAGTATCATATTTCAACTCTGTTTTCCCTTTCAAGTTGTTTTTGCTATTCTAGATAATTTTTATTTCCATGTAAGGTTTACCTTCAGATTGTCAATTTCTAGAAATAAATTTTTTTCTGGATTTTTTTGTGAGAATTATATTGAGACTATAGGTAAACTTTAAGAACATTAATATCTTATTGATTTTGACAATTCTAATTGATGAACATAGTATATTTCCTGATTTATATAGTTCTTTTTTCATAAATGTTTAGTAGTTTTCAGGATATGTGTCCTGTACATATTTTCTTAAATATATCCCTAATTTTTGACATTTGTGTTGTCCTAAAATTATATTTTTTATTTCAATTCCAATTGTTGAATGTTAGTGCATAGAAATACAAAGAATTTTTATAAATTGACATTGTATCATGTGACCATTAGTTCATTTATTATAGTAACTTCACTTGTAGATTCTCTAGAATTTTCTATATAAATTATCATGTTGTCTGTGAATAAACAGAGTTCTACATCTTCCTTTCCTAATATGTATGCTTTTTATTCCTTCCTATTACTTTTTGCTCTGGCTAGGATTTCTAGGAGTGGTAGAAGGAGGCAATCTTACCTTATGTCCAATCTTAGGGGGAAAGCATTCCGTCTTTCACCAGTAAGTACAATATTCTAACTAAACTTTTTATAGATGAACTTTGTTAAGTTACTTTTATTTCTTATTTGCTAACAATCTTTATCATGAATGGCATTATATTTTGTAAAAAAAATTTTTTGGTATCCATAGAGATGATTTTTTTTAATTTAGAAAAAAAAAAGATTAAAAAAATTGATTTTTAAATGGCTAACCAAATTTTCCTTCCTGGGATAAAATCCACTGGCCTTGATTTATTATCCTTTGTATATGAAGCTGAAGTCAGGATATTAGGGCCAGAGACTTTAAAATATAGCAAATAAAATAAGAGTAAAGATTAAATATGATGCCTAGGGAACCTATTTGGTTGATAAAACTGTCAAGAAATGCAAGGAAGTGATTGATACAAACGTCTGTGTAGTAAAATAGAGTTATAAGTTAAGTGGGGGAGGAAGATGGAGCAACAGGGCACAAGAGAGAGACTTCTGTGATGCCTAAAATGTTATATTTCTTGACCTAGGTGGTGATTTCTAGAGTATCTGTCTTATATAAATTCACCAACAGGGCACTGGGGTAGCTCAGTCAGTTAAGCTTCAGATTCTTGATTTTAGCTCAGGTCATGATTTCATGGTGATAAGATTGATCTCCTGGTCAGGCTCCATGCCCTTCCCATGCACACACGTACCCGCTCTCACTCTCAGGCTCTGTCTCTCTCTCTCTCTCTCTCTCTCTCTCAAAAAAAGTGTGTGTGTGTGTGTGTGTGTGTGTGTGTGTGTATATACATATATATACATATATATACATGTATATATACATACATATACATATATATACATGTGTATATATACATATATATGTATATATACATATATATACATGTGTATATATACATATATATACATGTGTATATATACGTATATATACACGTGTATATATACATGTATATGTACATATATATACATACATATGTGTGTGTATGTATGTGTATATATATACATATATGTGTGTGTGTATGAGTGTGTGTATATATGTTATTGATGGTTTTCCTTATCATATGCATTTTATAATAAAAAAATTTTTGAGAAAACAATAAAGTATCTTTAAGCTTCCTATAGCTTCAAATTTTATATTTTCTACTGTCTGCTAAACTCTTCCAAAAGAAATTAAGGTTTCTGGACGAACTAACTATCTTACTGCCAAAAATCTGATGTTAAATTGATATCAGACTAAATATTTGATGAAGGAAATGAAGCTTTCTTTCTTTCTTTCTCATAAGACACAGAAGAATGAAAATCTTAGAATTTTCAAGAAAGGAACAGTATCAAGAATATGTTTTGTTCTAAATAACAGAGTGAAGCTAAAAATAATCATTCTTTCTCTTTCCTCTTCCTTATTAAATTCTTAACTGTTCAATTAGTCCAAACTTTAGAAAACAACGGTATACTAATGGCCATAGGTAAGAAAGGTACTCAAGCAGGAAGGCCTGCTGGAAACAAACAGAAGTAGAAGTTCATTGTGGAAAAGAATCTGAAGCATTTTATAATCTAGAAAACAAGAATTCCCTTATGTTTCAACCCACAGATTAATAAGCAGCATTATCTTACAGAGGACCATATTTTTCTACCTCTTGAAATCAGTCAAGCAAAACCAAAATTAATAAAAATATATTAACAAAATAGTAACTTTTTGAATTTTCTGAAAATTGCATGGGGCTAAAAAAATGAACTAGATATTTCTAGTTATCTTGCATAATACTTTACAGATGATTTATGGAAACTCCATTTATTCTTGTAAGGCCATCGAGGAATCTTTTAGTAAATTATTATATTTAGTAAATTCAAAAAATGCCTGACTTTCAAAGAGAAGATTTTGCCTTAGAAGAACTTGAACCCATAAATGGAGTTACCATGGAGTTACTTATTTCCCTAGTTTCCTCAGAGAATAGGTTCAGACCAACCAAAAACCAGGTGATTGTTCTCTTGATGAGAGTGTAAGATAATCATTTCCTTACCCTCCATGATGGTCAAAGGATCTTCCACTTTAGGGCGCAGGATATTAGGGCCAAAGACAGTGGCCAAGTTCTGCACACTCATTTTGTTAACTCCAGAATAGGATTGCACTTCATCCAAGAACCTGTTGGATATAAGAACGTGAACAAAACAATGGGATCAAACTTGTTTGTCAGTGGAAGAAAATGGGTTATCGGGAAATTTATTAACTATAATATGTTCAAATACAATTATGGAGGCAAAATTATTTAGAAACTCAAACATCTCTCAGTCAAATGTGGAGAAAATATATTGCAAATGATTAAGGATCGAACTTGAGGGATCATATCAAATATCACCTTTGGCCTGGCTTGGCTTGGTTTCCTCCGTCAATCACAGAAACAGGTGTGTTTAGATAATGCTAATATGGACTTGAGATTCAGGAATATGGATTTTCTTCCAATCCTTAAATAAAACATTAAATTTATAAATGTATTCAATTCGAGAACTATAAATAAGATCATATGGTATAATCCTTTATTTCAGAGAGGCAAATCAACCCTCTTTGTCAAGTAATTTGTGAGCTTCAAATTTATAGTCTATTAAAAAATGAGATCAAACATGGTTTAAATTAAAACCTTACTTCCACTGATATGAAACATTCTAAGCACAAATTGCTTCAATTTATTAGGTGTTAAAGAATAAGAGGCATGAAATAGACTTTTTCCCGAATGATTTTAGTAGGAGGGATCATTTCTATAGTCTTTTGGCCTTTTTGCATTCCCCATCCCCCTCTTCATTTCTAGATTTCATGGCTTACTAATTGTACTTATGAGACAAAGAAGAAGCGATAAAAAAGAACTTATTATTATTTAAAATAATATATTTTATGTGTCAGTCATTGTGCTAACTTATTAAATTCTCAGAGAACTCTGTGAGGTAAATGATATGATTATCTCCATTTTACAGATGAGACACATGAGGCACCAGAAAGGTTAAGAATATTCTCCAAGGACACAGAAGTAACAGGTGGCAGACCTGAGATTTGAACCCAGATTGTCTGACTCTAGAGTCTGTGCTCTTGACAACTCCCCTGTGACTTTAAAGAAAGGCCCCTATTCCACATATTCATTACTGTTATACAGTGTAACCTATAGTAAAACTGAAGGACAAAAACCTCAAACTACTATTTCTTATTTGAAATAGCTGAAATTAAAAGCCTGCTTAAATGTTTCAAGAGAAGTTAAGTTTTCCTGTTGAGGAGCTAAAGATTTGTAATATGGTTCTCAAGAAAGAGCCTTTATCCCTTTTACTTGAAGAGATTGTTCCTCTTTCTCATCCAACACAACAGCTTGAATTAGTCCAAAGTCTTGGGACGGAACCCCTATGTGTTAGTGAATCTATGTTATCAGTGAAACTCATTTATTTCCTTTTTAAATTATGAAACCTAAGCTCATATTTGCTTCCTACCGTCACCAGAAAAAGTTATGGTAGAAGGTTTTGGAATTTCTTCTCAGTTACAGTTGACAGTGAACTCCTCAGTGTCCAGCATTAGTCTTAAACTACATAGTTCCCAGTCTGCTAAGCATTTATACAATCATGACACAAAAAGTACATGCAAATAATATAGTGTACTGAATTAAAAAATTGAATTACTTAAAAATAAACTGGGAAGCTTCCATTTAAGATACCTACAGTGATGTATAGTGCCAATCACCATCTCTCTTTTAAGATTTAAGATGCGTCAATTTTATATCTTCATTTTTTTTAGGTTTAATTTAAGTTCCAGTATTGTTAACATACAGTGTAATTAGTTTCAGGTGTACAATTTAGTGATTCCATGCTTACATACCACACCTGGTGATCATCACAGCAAGTGCCCTCCCTAATCCCCATCACCTATTTCACTCATTCCCCCCACCCACCTCCCCTCTGGTAACCATCAGTTTGTTCTCTATAGTTAAGAGTCTGTTTCTGGGTTTGCCTCTCTCTTTTTTTCCTCCTATGACTGTTTTGTTTCTTACATTCCACAGACGAATGAAATCATATGGTTTATTAAACAGGGGCAGACACGGCACATACCAACCCAGGCCATAAGTTAAATGATCATGAGTGAGAGATTTACCAGGTACAATTATTGTCCTAACAGAATTGAATGATGTCTTTTCAATGAGTCTTGAGGTAGGAGAGGAATAGAAAATAATATTTATGCAATTTAAAAGACAATTTAAATTTAAAAACAACTATGTGAAATGTGTTTTCAGGACTCTTTTACCTAGGAGGAATGCATGGAAAGGGTAAGAAAATTGTATAAAGACACATAAGAAGTCCGTGGTAGAAACTGGACTCCCACGCAGGCCTTCCTCATGCCAAGGGAGATGCTCCTTCTCTTAATTAAAGGTACATGCAGCATGTACAAACAACTTTGATGGAAGTTCAAAGCAACATATCTTTAGTATGTAGAAGTAAGTCAGAATCAGAAACAATAAATTATAAAATCGAGCAATTTTCATGGTCAAAGAAACCTTTGAGATCATCTTGCCAAACTTCTTAATTTTACAGAGGCCAACACCAGAGCTCAGAGCAGTTCAGTGATTTTATTCACTGTCAGAAGTAAATTACTGTCAGGCTAAACATAGTCTTCTTCTGTTTAGTTTTATCTTTAGGACTATTCTTACCTGCAAATATACTTCAGGAGGTTGTAATTGACCACAGGCAAACTCTTCACCTGCTTTGCTAATTCCTTAATGCCCTGAGTACAAAGAAATAGAGAATAAATGTTATTGAAGTGTTAGCCTTGCAATGAAAACAAATACAAATGAGCACACAGGTTTTTTTTTTTTCATTAGTTTCACATATTATCAGTGAAGAATCCTGTCCTGAAAACTTGCCACGATTACAGAGAGCATTTCACAAATATTTTCAAAGATGGGAAAAAGTATTTCAAATATTTCCATAAGTACTCTTTGTGGAGAAATAAATTTCAGTGAAGCCTTTTACCATTCTTAATACTTGCTCACAACTGATTGAAAAGGGAGGACTGCCTCATTTATAATAAGGCTATCTGGGAAAAAAGTAGCTTAATGTAGTGAGAGTCTTTCCCATTTCTGGCATGCCCCAAACATAGACATGTGTCTACTGACAAATAAGTCTCAAGATGGGCCATGTCTAGGATACACTGTTAGGGGTGGGATGGAGAATAAAAAGTCTACTCTTCCTGGAAATTTCACAAAGGTATTAATTGCTTTGGTTCTTCCCATTGTAAAACTTCTTCCAAAATGTAAATGGTCCCAGAAAAGCTAATGGATAATGTAATCTAATCTGTTCTTCTTCCTGAAAAAGGCCAGATGGTAAATATTGCAAGCTTTCTGGGACATATGGTCTCTGTCTCAACTACTCAACTCTCCTGTTGTGGTGCAAAAGCACCCACAGACAATATTACATAATAGAGTAAAACTTCATTTATAAAAACAGGCAGCAATTTCTATAAGAGTGCCAAGAAAATCCAGTGGAGGAAAGAACAGTCTTTCCAGCAAATGATTTGGAGACAACTGGATATCCATATGCCAAAGGATGAAGTTGGACCTTTCCTCATATCATAAACAAAAATTAACCGAATTTGGATCATAGACCTAAATGTAAGAGCTAAAGCTACAGAAGTCTTAGAAGAAAATATAGGAGTAAATCCTGGCGACCTTAGTTAATGCCTTCTTAGATATGACATTAAAAGCACAAGTGACAAAATAAAAATAGATAAATTGGACTTCATCGCAATTAAAAACTTTCATGCTTTAAAGGACATCATCAGAAAACTGAAGAGACAACTGATAGAATGGGAGGAATACTTGCAAATCATATATGTGATAGGAGACTTGTAATCTAAACTGTAAAGAACTCTCGCAACTCAGTAATAATAAAACAAATAATCCAATTAAAACGGGAAAATGATTTGAATAGGTGTTTTTCCAAAGAAAATATGTGAACAGCTACTAAATACATGGAGAGATGTTTAACATCATTAAGCATCAGGGAAATGTAACTCAAGCTCAATTAGATATCAGTTTACACACATTAAGATGGCTGTGATAAAAAAGAGACATAACAACAAGTGTTGGCAAAAATGTGGAGCAGTTGCTCATATTGCTGATGGGAATTTAAAATGATAAAGCCTCTTTAGCAAACATGGAGTTACATATGGTACAGCAATTCTGCTTCCTACGTACATACCCAGGAGAACTGCAGACATATGCCCATGCCAAGCTTTGTACATGAGTATTCACGGCACCATTTTTTTTTAAAGTTTATTTATTTTTGAGACAGAGAGAGAGCATGAATGGGGGGGCGCAGAGAGAGAGGGAGACACAGAATCAGAAGCAGGCTCCAGGCTCTGAGCCGTCAGCCCAGAGCCCGACGTGGGGCTGGAACTTCGGGCCGAGAGATCGTGACCTGAGCTGAAGTCAGATGCTTAACCGACTGAGCCACCCAGGCGCCCCCACAGCACTATTTTTAATAATAATGTCCATCAAACAATGGAAACAATGCACATACTGCAACTGATGAATGGATAGATGAATAAATAAATAAAAGGCATGAAATAATGATAGGTGTTTTAGGGTGGATGAACCTTGAAAAACAGTGAAAGAAACTGGTCACAGAAGACAATATAGTGGATGATTCCATTTATATGAAATATCCAGAAGAGGCAAATCTATAGATACAGAAAGGAGATTAGTAGTTGCCAACAGCTGGGGAAGGTGGGGTCAGTTATGGAATTTGTTATAGGATGATGAAAATGTGCTAAATATTCTAAAATTAGATTTTGATGGTGGTTGCACAACTCTTGAGAATACAGTTCACCCTTGAACTGTGGGGGGTTAGGGATGCCGACCACCCCCACACTCAAAAATCAATGTATAACTTTTGACTCCCCCAAAACTTAACTACTAACAGCCTTTTGTTGGCTGGAAGCCTTGCTGATAAGCAGTTAATTAGCAAATATTTTGTATGTTATATGTATTATATGTTGTATTCTTATAAAAAGTAAGAAAATCACAAGGAAGAGAAAATACATTTAGAGTACTGTACTGCAAAAAAAATCTATGTGTAAGAGGACCCACACAGTTCAAACCCCTATGGCTCGAGGGTCAACTGTATACTAAAATGCGCTGAATGTACACTTTAAATAGGTGATTGTATGATGTGTGAATTATATCTCAAAGCTGTTTAAAAAATGGTAGATAAGATTTGGTAGAAGGCATTGTTGAGAGTAATTTAGGGGGTACATAATGAAAAGGGGAATATGAAATAAGACATCCACTTTATTCATGGAATGTTAGACCTGATGTAGCCCCACAATTAACCAGTTAGAGGAGCAAAGTGGGAAGGAGGGTTCACTTCATTTATTCAGCAGCACTTTTCTTGCTGATAAGGGAGGGGATTAAAAATGGGACCTGTGTTGTGTATGTAATATCTAAATGAGTGTAATGTCAATAAATAGAATGCTGGAAAACAATCCAAGGATGGGGCCAGGGGAAATTTACAAATGAAAAACTAAGAACATTGACAAAAAACCCAAATTAAGGCTTTTTTAGAAATAAATGTACCAACTTACAGCTTCCTCTTCCTTGCTGAGCAGTTTGGCACAGGACAAAAAATCTTCATACTTTGCATAAGGAATAACTGGTTCTGGAAGTTCTCGGAGATACAGTTTAAGAAGTGATGCCACTGTGTGTACATCTGTGTTGCTGTGGAGATAGAAGTGGGAAGATACTCTTTGCAGTAAAATTTATACCATCCGATATATTCTTTCATCAAATACACATCTATAAGTCAGAATTCTGAGTTGCCAATGAAATCCATAAATTCAGCTTTCAAGAAGCATACACTTAGCTAATGCCCATGAAATGCTACAACAGGTGGAGACGACAGGGATCTGGAAGGACTCTTAGAAGCTTCAGTGTGCTTTGAAAATATTCAAAAGTTCAAGCATTTTTCGTTTGTGTGTACTTGATGTTACTACACTTGATCTTAGCCAAAGGCTGAGAAGCGATGTGTGTACCTGATGTTAAGCCAAAGTGTTAACTTTAGGGGCTCCTGGGTGGCTCAGTCAGTTAAGTGTCCAACTCTCAATTTTGGCTCAGCTCGTGATCTCATGGTCATGATCAAGCCCCACATGGGGCTGCACACTGACAACACGGAGCCTTCCTCTCTCTTTGTCCCTCCTCCCTCTCAAAGAAAAATAAATAAAAATTTTAAAAAGTGTTAAAAACAATGCCAATATACCAGACTCTAAATGAAATATAATACAATTTACAAAACATACCAAATCCACCACTATATGCATGTATGTATTCAGTGTCACAATTAATCACTTCTGAGGCTTAGGTTCATTTCTTATTCTTTAGAAGACATTGGTGACTGGTTATAGATATCAGAAACTTAGTGTGACATGTTATAACTTTTTAAGCAGAACTTATTTTGAAGGTGATTGATTTTCAGCATGATTTCTTGTCTAATATTCTAAGATAGTTGGAAATCCTTAGAGTCTTCTAGAAAGAGAAGGAATGTACTACAAAAACAAACAATGAAAACACAACCTGTCCTTTGTATAATGTGCAAAATTTATTTTTATTCCCTGCTGACTACCAGAGTGACAGGATAATTTCCTAAAATACTAATTTACATTTTATGCTATCTCCACGTTAATCCATGAAGACAGAGACAGACAGTAAAGATGAAAATGGGTGGTTTTTATTTACATTTATTTATTTATTTATTTATTTATTTATTTAAATGTGTATTTATTTATTTTGGGGGAGGAGAGAGAGAGTAAGTAGGAGAGGGACAAGGAAAGAGAGAGAGAAAGAGAGAATCTCAAGCAGGCTCTACACTCAGTCCAGAGACTGACACAGGGTTCCATCTCTCCATCTCAGGAACCATGAGATCATGACCTGAGTTGAATCAAGAGTCGGACACTTAACCAACTGAGCCACCCAGACACCCCATTTTATTATTTTTATTTTGGGTGAGGAGGACAGGTGTAGCAAAGAGAAATTGGTGGGCAGGGAGTGAAAGACCATCTGGCCCTGAGAAGTGGAAGAGAGGTAGTGAAGAAGGTCAGGAATCCTGTAAATATTGAGAATGAACGTCTCACACCTCACTCCCAGACTGTGCGGCAGGAAGTGACCTATCCCCAGAGGGGTATTTCTTGAGGGCTGGAACACAGTTCAATTTCCTGCCTCAGTGAATATTCTCTTGCCCAAAGGTGACACAGAAGCAGAGTTGACATCACAGAACTACATGGGCTGGGACAATGGTCATCTTAGTTCTCAATTTTGAAATCAAATAGTTGACTTCATCAACGATTTCCCACACGCCTGCTCTGTATTGAACATTATAGAAAACACAGTGGCTAGAGCCTCAAAGAGTTAAAAAAAAAAAGATTATTCCAGCCTGCTCGCAATTTATAATCTAGTGAGGACAGGGAATATGAACTAGATAATAACACAAGCGTATAATTGCAAAGTGTGGTAGGTAGTAATAAGGAGAAGTGTTGGGTGATATCTAAAAGCAAGACAGGACTAATAACAAGACAGGGTTGGATGGCTTCTCTGAGGAAATGATGCATAGACCAAGGGGTAATAATTAACCAAGTGGGAGCAGAAGCACCAAAGAAGGCATTCCTGATTAAAGCAAGGCAGGTAAGCAGAGCCCAAAGTGGGAGGGAACGTCCTGCCCTTGAGGAGCGAACAAAAAAGCTAAGGGAGAGCCAAGCTCAGGGTGGGCCTGCATGAGGTTTGCGTGTACGCAGCATCCTTGGAATCTGGGTCTCTACCTTCCCCCAAGTCAGATGGGGCAAAGGCTGAGCTTTTTCATTTCAGTGTTGAGGTCAGTCAGAGTGGGCATTTTGTTAACCTTCTTGCAGATGTTAAAATAATGGAGGTGATCTGATAGGGCCTGTCTAAAATAATTCTGTTCTTTCACAATTAAACATGCTTTCCCTCTTAAAATTTTGAATTGATAAGCAATATAGAAGTCAACTCAAAGGCTAGTTAAGGAAATAAAAATCACATCTCTGGGACATCTTGAAAACTGTTTCTAAGCTCCTTGATTCCTCAAATTACTTTCTACAGAATTTTTTAAAAAGAGATAGTCCTAACAAAGTACCAATGGTAAGACAAGGAAGACACTATTTCTTCTGTTTTATGGAAAAAACACTCTATTTCATGCGTATCAAAGCTCTTCTGTGTTTCTCTTGTTATCTAGTGAAGGACAGCCATCAGCAGTAAGAGAACCACAACTCGGGGCAGAATATGCAGTGCAATCAACTATTACAATAAATGATTCCATGTTTTGATTCCACTCTAACCCAACCCATGACTAGGTTGGATGTGTTGCCTTCAAAGACAATGACCATTTTGTTAGGGTTATAGGAAGGTACAGAGAAACACAGAAAAATAAAATACAAAATAAGTATAACTTCAATACATGAAGTAGGTTATCCATCATTTGCATGACTATATACATAGAATATACACAAATCTTTGTGAAATAAATGCAACAAATAAGACAAATAATAATAAGTAAGAAATATATATTTAGTAAAAAATCTGTTCTAGTGTTTCAGTGATTGACTTTGTGCTGCAATGACTCTCCCCAGTACACTGTTCTTGAGGGAACTTGCTTGATACTTGTATTATTTAGTTTCTAATGAAGTAGAGCTGTAGTACTGAGGACGTGTGAACGCTAGATGGCACCATTGCAAAGTTAGAGTAATCAGATGGCGCGAAAATTATGAAGGATGAAAGGCTGCAGAATCATTCTTCATCCACCAGCAATTTTCTTAGCACAAGAGCTGCAGTAATGCTCCAAGAATAGAAATATTTGAGCTATGAATCAAGGTAAGAGATGTGGATAGGATGATGATTTTATTCCTTCCCTAAAGTGATACATTACATTAGCTTTCTAGCATTATAGTATACACCTACATATTGTTAATTATATAGAAGCGATGGAGAAAATATAGAAACAATGGAGAAAAAAATGACCAAATGCTTTTCCTCTTTTTTTTTCCAATTAACGAAGGGTTAAGGGTTTTGCTCCAGGGTCAAAACTTAAAAATATATTACCTCCTTTTTGGGGCTTTATTATACTTAGGTTATTTTGTGGAAATGGAGACATCTACATTTCCCTGGTGTTCTCATTTTTAGCTTTGTCCTTTCCTACCGAATGAAAGAAAACAATTGCTTCTGTGAAGACTTCAGCATGTGTTGTAGTTCACCTCAAGGGGCTCGCAGTCCGTCCGCCCTTCTGTCCAGAACACCACCAACTGCAACATCAAGTCTGGTGTTTGAAAAACCTTTTTGTATATCTACTGTACGAAATGGTGGCCGTCCGCATCTCTCCGCCCAGCCTCTTACTGAAAACCCATAATTTTGCCTGTTTAATATTTGCTTCCTATGGACAGTCAAATAAGTATATACTAACATTATGTGCTAATTGCCCAATGTACCAGGGGAACGTGCCATCTTTGTCTCAAAGATATACATTTCAGACTTCATCAAAGTGAAGTGAAGTGACTGTACTGTGGCAAAAGTCAATGTACAAGGGAGAATTAAGATACCTAACCTGGTTAACAACAACAACAACAACAACAACAACAACAACAACAACAGCAGCACCTCTAGACATGTATCACTCTATGTCAGGCCTTCACAGCAGTGAGCAGGTCCTGCTACTAACCCTATTTTGGGTACTTGGACAGGAAACCACACTGGTATGAAATTCTTTCTGGCTAAGCACTAAGATATGAGAGGTTTTAAAGTCGTGCTCTTTTGGTAGAAATTCAAGACTATTTGTTAATGTGAAATCATTATACAGATCTCAGGTCTCTTTCCCTAACCTGGTGGTAGGATCTGTTTTCAGAAATTAAGATAAGGAATCATGTACATTCTATCCAGTGATCCTGAATAAAGAAGCTAGAATAGCAGGAGATGCCCTGGAGCATGTCCCTTAATTGATCGATATATGATCAATTTTTGTTTCATTTTATATTACACTTGGACCTTACTTTTGAGTCCTACTTCCTCACTTACAGTCTGTTTACCAAATTAAAGGGAGGATTTCATGAGACTTTCAAGGATCAACCTAATTTTACAGTCTCATGAGTGTGCCATTGGTCATTCTGGAATCTTTCTATCAGTAATAGTTCCTGAAACTAATGGTGGGCACGGCTTCGTGAAACATGCTGGGTGAAACAAATGAACAACATAGATCTTTTTGTCCCCCATGGGCTTATATTTCTAACTAATCACCATCAATACTTTTCCATATCACAACATGCCTCATTTTGTTCTACTTTGTAATACCTCCTGTATATTCTAGCTGCTAAGTCCCTGTCAGGTGTGAGATCTTAAGAATATTCTTTACAGTTCCTGGAAATTGTCTGCCCTATTTATAATCTATGTACGATACAGGCTTCTCACTAATCTTAACAGGGACAAAAGAAGTCTCACAGCAATCCTTCCTTGCTCATCTTCTATCCCCACACCCTCTTCCCTGATAAACAGACTCTCATACATGGATCAGTCCAAATGCCACAGTAATTACAAGTATAATACTACACAGACAAAACCTTGAAACTTGTAAGCCTCAAAATTAGAAATGGGAATTTTTCAGGGCACCTGGATGGCTCAGTCGGTTATGTGAGCGACTTCGGCTCAGGTCATGATCTCACGGTTCGTGG